CCGCCGCTGCCCCGCCTTTTCCGGCTCCCTCGCCTGAGGCTCCGCCTCCGCTCCGCCTTTTCCCGCTCCCTCCCCTGAGGCCCCGCCTTCGCTCCGCCTCTTCCCGCTCCCTCCCCTGAGGCCCCGCCTTCACTCCGCCTTTTCCTGCTCCCTCACCTGAGGCCCCGCCTTCGCTCCGCCTTTTCCCGCTCCCTCCCCTGAGGCCCCGCCTTCGCTCCGCCTTTTCCCGCTCCCTCCCCTGAGGCCCCGCCTTCGCTCCGCCTCTTCCCGCTCCCTCCCCTGAGGCCCCGCCTTCACTCCGCCTTTTCCTGCTCCCTCACCTGAGGCTCCGCCTTCGCTCCGCCTTTTTCCGCTCCCTCCCCTGAGGCCCCACCTTCGCTCCTTCTCTTCCTGCTCCCTCTCCTGAGGCCCCGCCTTCGCTCTGCCTCTTCCCGTTCCCTCCCCTGGGGCCCCACCTTCACTCCACCTCTTCCTGCTCCCTCTCCTGAGGCCCCGCCTTCGCTCCGCCTCTTCCCGCTCCCTCTCCTGAGGTCCCGCCCTCACCCTACCTCTTTGCTCTCCTGAGGCTCCACCCTTGCCCTGCCACTTCCGACTCTATTCCCTCTCCCACCCTAACTCCACCTCTTTCTACCCCATGCTCTTAGCCTTCCCCTAAGACCCCACATTCATTCTACCTCTTCCTGCTCCCACTCCAACCCCTCCCACAAGGCCCCTGCCTTGGCTGCTCTCTGCCCTCTCCCAAGCACTTCCCCCAGCCATCAAGCAGCTGATCAACAATCCTTACTTGTGATTTGTAACTTACTGAACTGTTTAAAAAACTTTTGATTTCAGTTGAGTACCGTGGATTGTGTGTAACTTTGGTTTACCAGAAGTTCATGGTGCCGTCTTCTACCAAACGATCCCACCTCCCTGTTCCAGCCTGTTTGTGTCAGATTAACTTTATTGAATACAAAACTGCTCCCTGTTGTGATCAGAGTGTTCCTAATAAACTCAACTTGCACAGGCACACCTAAGACAATAAAGATAACATGTGGACATCATTTAAACATTGTTCCCATGCGTGTTTTTCTCTCTGATTGCCTTTGCTAGGTGCTTTACATTCTGAACAGGAAGCAGACAGTCAGCAAGTTCCAGAGTTGGGGGAGAAAGCTCTTCTGAAAGGTAGGTGATTCCTCTTCTGCAACTGCAACAAGCCACAGTTATGGAATGTCATGCAGTGTTACTTAATTCTTGACAATCTTAGCCGTTGGGCGGTGGCACCGTGGGAACTGAACTGAGCTCTTCTGTGTGCTAGATCCAACCCAGGGGTGGGAAATAATTTTTGCAGGGGGTCCTGTCCAAGAATTTGGTAAGTGGTCAAGGGCTGCACTCTTCCTGCATAGTTATGGAGGAGGTGCAGAGTCTAGGGTGGAGTCTGAGTGCAGAAAGGAGGTTGCGGTAGGTGACTGGGGTGCAAGGTCAGGAAAGAGGTATGGGTCCAGGAGAGGGTTCTAGCCTGGAGGAGGGGTGCAGGAGGGAGTACAGGGCATGGGAGGAGGTTGTGACTTGGGTGAGAAGTGCAGGAGGGGGTGCAGAAGGTTTGGGTTACAAAGGGAAGGGGTACAGGAGGGGGAGCAGAGGGTTGTGGGAAGGAAAGACAGGTGTGCAAAGTGCAGGTTCTGGATGGGAGATTCTTACTTACATGGCTCCCAGCCAGCAGCCCAGCAGGACCCTAAGGCAGGCTCCCTGCCTGCCCCACCCTCTCACACCATTTAGAGGGGATGGCTGTGGGGCCCATGTTGTGAACCCCTAGGGAAGGGGCAGGTATCATGCACTGCCTTCATGAGCACAGCTTAGACAACTCCCATTGGCTGGTTTCTGGCCAATGGGAGCTGTGAGATTGTGCAGGGGGAGCAGGAAGTGAATGAAGCTCCTCCCCGCGAGCACAGCGAGTGGCATGAGAGGTTGAGGAAGGTAGGAAGTCTGCGCAAAGCTCCCGCTGCATGATGGGAGGTGGGGGGGGGGGCAGATCTGCTGGTCTGGGGGGCAGAATCCAGCCTGCAGGCCACATTTTGCCCACCCCAAACAGGTCTGTGCATGTGTCCAGCTGCTGAGATGTAGCTGTACCAGGGACTTGACTGGTGGATGCTTGTGGACCTCGGAGATTTTAGGCATCTACAGCATAAGGCAGCAGCAGAGCCACGATTTTGGGATGAGCAGTGGTACTAAAACGTTGGCTCCGGTTAAGTGACTATGCCCCCTTTGTGAAAGCTGGTGGGTGTGTCAGCCTTCCAAGTGAAACACTGCTATTGCTCTAGGTCCGGAACACACCTAGGAAAGAGAGCAGGAAGAGATTTCGTCTTTGGCATCATGACCAGGACTTGGGAAGTCATGCCTAGTAGTCAGAGCAGGGCCAGGGCTGGGAATCAAGCCAAGAGTCAGGCCAGAACCAAAGTCATAGACCAGGGACAGGCATCCTGAACACAGCAGGAAGCAGTGTTCCCGCTAAGCTGAGCCCTTGGGTGGCCACCCAGGAGTGATTCAGATGCCACCCAGCAGAGCCCCCACAGCCTGCAGCACATCTTTCTCTTGGTGGGGCTCATCAGCACATGCCTGGGTGCACATAATAAAATTTATTCCACACATGGATGGATAACATTAGAGGAAATAGTCGTAGCAAGGCAGGAACTAGAAACAAGGCAGGGAAATTAGGGCTCACAGATTTGGGAAGAAGGAAGAGACCAATATAAGAGCCATACAGGAAATTACCTCTTTGCACTGTCCTACCAATCAGAGCAGCCAAGCCCTTGTCCAATCAGCTCTCTCATGGGCGGTGCCTCTGGGGGATCCCGGGTTCCATTAGTCACTCAGCCCGCCACTTACTGACTTAGGGCTGCGCTAGGCAGGGATGTCGCTGGATTCTCCATGCCCGGCTACCTGGCTCCTCACCAGCCCTTTCAGCAGCTCCGCTCTGGCCCGACAACAGGAACAGGAAGTGTTGCTACTTCCACTTCAAAAGCCCACGCTCCATTTTCATTGGCTGTCCTGCCAGCTCACTTCCTGCTTCCCCAGCATTCCTGGGGACTCCCTGTCCATGGCTGTAACCCCTGTAGGCAAGGCCCGCAGGGTTGGGTCTAAAGAGTTCACAACTGCCGAGAAAAGACGTATGCGAAGCCAACAGCTGCAACGTCCAGAAAATGGCGCCCCTCCCCCATTCACCACATTGTCAGACTAAACCTATTCATGCACAGGTAATACCACAAGGATTATGGAACCTGCTCACGCTTTAATCTCTTCCTGCAGCGAGGGAGGCTCTCCAGGGCGTCCTGTCCCGGCTGAAGATGGAGCCGTACAGAAGCAGGAAGCTGAGGCTGAGGGATCTTCAGGAAATCAACCCAGAAAGTCTGCAGAGCTGGACTCCTCGGGCCGTAGGGGATTTACCGTGGCATTTCCTCAGGAAGGTCCTGGCTCTGGATGGGGCGGCCAGAAACACGAACCTCGGGCAGGGAGGATCTGGTGACCAAGCCGGCCGTGAGGAGAACGAGGGACAAGGTGACGGTGGTGAGATCCTTCCTCATAGCAACACGGACTCTAGGGCTTCCCTGCACCCCCTGGACGTTCTCTGCGCCGTGCTGCTTTGCTCAGACAGTTTCCTGCAGCAGGAGATCCTGTCCAGAATGTCCATGTGCCAGTTTGCCCTGCCTCTGCTGCTGCCCGCCCTCGACTCCCCCAGGTGCACCCTGCTGCTGTGGGCCATGCGGGACATTGTGAGGAGGTGGCGGCCGCACTCCCTGGCACAGAGCCGAGGGTTCAGGGAGGAGAGCCTGGTGCTCACCCCAATGCCAACCATCTCCTTTGTGCGGCTGGGCAGCTGCCGCTTCTCCAAGTCCCAGCTCCTCAACGAGGTTCTCAGCCCCGCCCAGCAGCACCACGACTTCTTTGTCCATCGGGACATGGAGTCTGGGAATGTCCCACGGGAAATCGCTGACGGGCTGGTCGAGATTGCCTGGTACTTCCCTGCCGGGCGGGAGAAATCGGATCTTTTCCCTGAGCCCGTTGTGATTACAAACCTGCGCGGGGACATAGAGTCGCACTGGCTGCAGTTCAGATTTTTAACGGAGATCTCCTCAGCGGTGTTCATCGTTACCGAGGGCATCGGTGAGAGAGAATACGCCCTGTTCTCCTCTCTAAAGGGGTCAGACATCAAATACTACTTCATCCTCAACCATGAGTCCAGCAAACAGACCGAAACACAGGAATTCCTCAGCAAACTGGCACCGGTGCTGAAACTGAGCAAACAACACGTCCTCGAGAAAGAAATCGGGACCAACCAAGAGGAATTCACGGAAAAGCTGTGCTCTGTCATAGGAAGTATCATGAACGACCATCCCAAACAGATGAGTACGGAAAGTATGACCAAGGCCGCATGGGCACAGGGAATCCGGCTGGATGAGGACTGTGAGGAATGCCAGACAGCAAGTACCTGCGCGAAAGAAATCACGGCAGAAATAAAAGAGGTGAGGCATTACAAGAAAGAAACACTGACATTGCAAGGGGACTTATGGAAGGGCTTAAGCAACGTGGAAAGAGAAATGTGCCGGTTGAATGGACAAGGGGACATACCCACCGAAGAATATAAATCGAGGCTGAAAGAGAAATGGTTGCAGATACGCGCACAGCAGCATGAGTGTGACCTTCCCGATGGTTTGACTAAATTTGTCAATGGAATAGGAATGCTGTCTCCAAGGGCAATACACTACTTCCTGAAATGCATGACATTTAATCTAGATTGTATCGCCAGGGGGAACCTCCTTCGCCAGCAGCCTGGCCCATCAAAGTTACCAAAACTGAATGAATCCAGCTCTGGCTGTTCCCTAGGGGTGGAGCATTTCTTACGGGAACTGGCGCAGTTCTACGAGGCTGAATACTCCATGATGAAGGAAGGCAAAATAGCAAAAAATCAAAGGAAATTCATTCACTTCCCAAGGTTAGCAGCTGATCTGATGCTGGAAGGGTTTCCCATGGAGCTGGTCGATGGAGATGCCTCCAACATCCCGCTGCAGTGGGTGACCGACATTCTGGCTCAGCTCCATGCCAAGCTGGGGGGAAGGTCCAGGATGCTGGTTCTATCGGTGCTGGGGGGGCAGGGCACCGGGAAATCCACCCTCCTCAACACCATGTTCGGCCTGCAGTTTGCAGTGAGCAGCGGCCGATGTACACGAGGAGCCTTCATGTCACTCGTCAAAGTGGCAGAGACCTTTCAGCCGGTCCTGGGCTGTGACTGCCTCCTGGTGATCGACACAGAAGGCTTGAAAGCCCCCGAATTGGCCAAGCTGGAGGACCGTTACCAACACCACAACGAGCTGGTCATGCTGGTGGTTGGACTGAGCGACATCGTCATCGTTAACATCAGCAGGACCTGGCCTGTGATTTCCTCCTGGTGATCGACACAGAAGGCTTGAAAGCCCCTGAACCAGCCAAGCTGGAAGATGGTTACCAGCACAACAATGAGCTGGCCACGTTGGTGTTTGGACTGAGCGACATCACCCTCGTTAACATGGCCATGGAGAACGCCACCGAAATGCAGGCGGTCCTGCAAGTCGTGGTCCATGCCTTCCTCAGAATGGAGGAAGTGGGACACACACCCACCTGTCTATTTGTGCATCAGAGTGTCAAGGATGCAGCTGCCTATGAGCAAAACATGAGGGACAGGAAATACCTTGCGGAGCAGCTGAATGAGATGATCAAAGCTGCAGCCAAAATGGAAAAGCTACAGACGCAAATTACAGTTTCTGACCTTATGGGCGATACAGCAGAGAAACACAACTGGTGCCTCCCTGGCCTGTGGCAAGAAGACCTTCCCACGGCATCTGTGAGCACTGGGTACAGTGAGAGAGTCTATGAACTAAGGAAAGATGTATTGGCATTTGCAATACAACATTCCGTTTACAGCATTCCTAAAGACATTCCACAGCTGATCGAATGGGTGAGAAATCTGTGGAGTGCTCTGAAGCATGAAAACTTCCTCTTCAGCTTTAGAAACCCATCCGTAACCAACGCCTACACCAAGGTATCTGCACAGTCTGTCGCGTGCGAATGGCAGTTCCGCAAGGAGATGAATCTGTGGGTGACAGAAAAACAAACTTTCTTCCAGAATCAACTACCATGCAACTTTGATGCTCATGTCCTCACTAACATAACAAAGGAGACGAAGCGGAAATGGAGCTATTTATCGCATGTTTTTCTGGAGCAGATTCAAATTGCAGCAGCAAAACAATCAGTTAGAAATGTGAAGGCTTTTGTTAGGAATACAGTTTCTCATTCATTGCTAAGGACGAGTGATTCACACTCCATTTGCTCCAACCTGGTGACCGTCGGCAAGGAATGGCGAAAGAAAAACACAATTCAGGCGCTGTACATAAAAACCATTGAAGGTGAACTGGACATTCTTCTGGAAGACTGTAAAACGAGAAAGCACCAAATAGACAACAAGGAGCTGGCCGTGGAGTTTGAGGAAATGTGGAGTGAGACATTGTCAAAAATACGGCTCAACTGTTTGGACAAAAAGCAAATTTATCAAGACATTGAGTTGCTGCTGAGGGAGGACCTGGAGACGTCACCCAGTCTAACGCTAGAGCAGCACAGCAACGTACTGAATCATGGCACAAAAGCTTTTGTTATGAAAAAGGAGTATTTGGACTTACACTGGCTTAGGAGCCTGAATGAACGGTTCACACAGAAACGCTGGCGTAAAACAGAAGAACTTGTTCACTCTTTAAGGGAACAGTGCAAGGATTACGTTAAATGCCTTGCCGATGCCAAAGAGCACTATGACGAAACCTACGGCAGAGATCTGTTGAGGATGATCAATGAGCGGCTTCAAGAGGCCGATGTTCAGAACCTTCACACGAGCGCTTGCTTCAACATGGACCTGAAGCTTCACATTTTGGGGGAAGTGGTTCCTTTATTAGAGAAGATGCAAGCAAACTTCCTCCAAGAAAATGATCCTGAAGTGTATCTGGAGAAACTAAAACCCCAATACCTCACCACGTTTAAAAACCTGTATTTGGGGACGGATTCCTGCCAGACACGAGCCAGGGACTTTTGTCATTGGTGTCTTAAACCTGCCCTGGTGGAATATGTGAATAACCGACTTGGGTTAGAAATAGTGGATGACATTCTCAGCAGTGGGCAATTTGATGAATGTACAAACCGAAGCCTTTTCCAGTTCACAGTCCTTAAGAAGCTGCTGAAATATGAAAACTTTGACTCCTATATCATATACATTAACAATTATGCAAATTTTGTCAAAATCTGGGTGGAAGGCCTCTTACAAGATATCTACAGCCAGAAAACCCGGCTGCAAAACCTGGAGAAAGAGATTCTGTTCCCAATCATGAAGAAAGTCATGCAGGCTCTGGAGTTTGCCAATGACCAAAGAGCGAACACGGTCGGTGACTTTTTAGGCCTGTTTTGTGGAGCATTACAGAACGACTTGGTGATAACCAGGGACCGGCTCGCAGCCACACAATTTAAAAACACCGCAAGTGCCGCGCAGTTTGTGGCTGACGTTCAGGCTGCTCTCCCTGAGCTAGAAAAAGATGTTTTAGCTGAATTTGACGAGATGACCTTTACATCCAAACTCTCCAACCTGTTTGTGAAGCCCCAGGATGAAATCTTCAAGTGCGTGTTTGGCTGCGGGAAGCAGTGTCCGTTCTGTAAGGTCCCTTGTGAAGCAGGAGGGGTGGACCATGCAGAACATTTTGCTACAGTCCATCGGCCGCAGGGATTGGGGCACTGCAAGAACAAAAAAACAGGGATGTTGGAGTACTCATTGTGTTCTTCCGATGTGGTTTCCAAAGCAGTATTTACAAATTCAGAAACGGAAACAAAATTTCATCCTTACAAAGATTACCGACAGATTTACCCCGACTGGCGCATCCAGCCCGATCCCAGCATCGACACTTCCGACTACTGGAAGTTCGTTTTTAACAGGTTCAACTATAAGTTTGCTAGGAAATACAACGCAAAGCCAGCAAATCTGCCGCAGGCTTGGAAAAACATCACCAAGGAGCAGGCGCTAGAGAGCCTAGAGGAGGCATTTAACATAAAACAACCAACCAGCACAGAGGCTCTTTAAGCGGCATGGACATATGCCAAAGGCCAGTATGGTTTTGATTGTTACCTGAATGCAATAGTCTTGCTTTTTCTGCACTTGTAGTTTCTTTAGTGCTCTGAGTACAATAACAGCACAAAACACTGAAAGCCAGGACTGGTGGCTGTAAACAAACTTTATGGGACCACTTGTCCACACTCATGAAAAGTTAGCCTCAGTGCTGGAACTGAACAAGTGAAACATGCTGGAGAGAAGCCACAGCCCAAATGGGACAGAAGTGTTGGAGGCAAAGGAGGAGTAAGGGGAGAGTTAAAATGGTGGTTGTTCTTTCTCACCTGTTAATGATGATATTTGGTTCCCTAAACTTTTGGGGTGTTGTCTGTTAACCCCCAATCCCTTCCCTGAGTGAGTGAAGAAGAATGTCTGAGGTAAACAGCAGGAGTAAACAACTATGCACACGACCCCCAGCAGGGAGTGCACACGGCCCCAGCAGGGAAGGCACACGGCCCCCAGCAGGGAAGGCACACGGCCCCAGCAGGGAGTGCACACGGCCCCCAACAACAATGCACATGGCCCCCAACAACAATGCACACGACCCCCAGTAGGGAGTGCACACGGCCCCCAGCAGGGAGTGCACACAGCCCCCAGCAGGGAGTGCACACGGCCCCAAGATGGCCCACACTCAGAGGCTGCATGTGGATGATCCTTAAAGGAGAGAGGGACAGAGACACAGTGGGTTGACCATCAAGTGGAGCCTCCCAGAACGCCCTCTGCTCAGATCTCCTGGCCAGTGGACCAGCTTAGGAGTCAACTTGGGAAGATCAAACAATATGAACTGCCTCCTACTTGCCTTATCATCCTGCCTGGCACTGTAAGTGTGATTGAGTGTATGGGCGAGATTCCCCTCCCTTCCCAGTTTTAATTGAATAAACAAACCCTTTACACTCCTATGTGGTGATCCCCTCTCCTTAGAGTTTAAAGCAGTTGCAATCCACATCCCCTTGCAACAAGAATTAGTGGAGATTCTCCAGCACTCTATACGCAGCATAATGAACTCCTCCCAGGAAGGCGTCAATATGGAAGTGCTGGCTAGGGACACCTGGTTGGTCACTGTGGTGAGCAGAAAGGCCTGGAAGATATGGAGAGAGAGATTCTCTCTCCACAACAATAGAGAAAGTCCAGGGCGCGCTGGAAAACTCCAAAGATCAGACGGACTCGACCTTGGTCTTTCTCGACAACGTTTGCAAAGTGCTGCAGAAAGACTTAGTCAATTCCAAGCACGGCTTAGAGGGGATACGCTTCATAAACACCGTTAACGCGGAGAAATTTGCGGTTTTCATTCACACTTTCCTTTCGGAGCTGGAACCCCAAATCTTAGCTGAATTTGAAAATTTGGAAATCGACTCTAAACTTTCCCATCTGTCAGTGAACCTACAGGAGGAGATCTTCAAGCAAGTGTTTGGCTGTGGGAAGCAGTGTCCGTTCTGTAAAGTGCCCTGTTAGGCAAAAGGCGCCGACCATACGGAACATTTTGCATCGGTGCATCGGCCTCAAGGATTAGGGAGATACCGCGGGCTGAAATCAAATATACTTGTCTGTGAAATATGCACCACTGCTGTCCATTCCAGCAGCACGTTCTGATGCCCAGAGACACAATGGGAGGCCCGTCCCTTGAAGGAGTATCGTGTAATTTTCCCCGACTGGCGCATCCAGCCAGATCCCGACGTCGACGCTTCTGATTACTGCAAGTTTGTGTTTAAGGAGTTCAATGGAGAATTTGCCAAAACGTATAAAGTTGAACCAGCGGAGCTCCCAGGAGGCTAGGAAAAGATCACTCAAGAGCAGGCCCTGTAGAGCCTGGAGGAAGCCTTCAAAATTAAATAACAAGGGGTGGACAAATTCCATTGTGCACATGTGCATCTGCCTCAGTGCATAGAGAAAAATTTATGCTGCACATGGATGAAAAAGATGAGATCGAACTTTCCCTTACACCCCAGTGTTGGCACAGAGCAGGGTGAGCGTTGGCACCCCCATTGCATTCCCCAGCTGGCTCATTGGGCAGTGGGGTTAGCCCCCGTGCTTCTATTCTTCTCCCAGGCTGGAGTGCCAGGGACGGTGGCAGGGGGTGGGGCTGGATGCAAGCTGGGTGAGCCAAGCCCACCTGTGGCTACACCCTGGGGGATGTTTTGTGATCGGTGGGAAATACAGAAAACTCAGGTACAATTTGCAGCTTTCAAATGGAGACTGAAAGTAAGAACATCGATTCCTTACTACGCCGGCGAGGCGCCGGTGTCCTACCTCCGAGCACATGTCGTCTAGGTAGCACGGGGTGTGAAGAGCCCTCCCAGGTTAAAATGGTTTGGGAGGGGAACTCCCTTTCTGTTGCTATGAGGAAGCCATGAGATGTCCAGCTACCTTTTCCTATCTTGGGCAGGTTGAAATTTCTCATGTTCCCCCCTGTGACAAGGCCTCTGGCTTCCTGTCCTTGGGCAGGTTGAAATTTCTCATGTTCCCCCCTGTGATGGGGCTTCGGGTCCCGTGTCTCTTCTGAGGGGTGACACCCCGCAGACCAGCCCCTCGCTCGCAGTCCCTAGCGGCTTGGTCTGCAAACAATCGCAGCCTCTGGGTCAGTCCGGGCCTGAGACCCCAAACAAAACCCCTTCTTTTGGGGCAGTCGGGCCCCTGGGCCCAGTTACTCACAGTCAGGCCCGGTGGCCTAGTCTATCCAACTGTGTGTGTTCCCCCCCCTTGGGGTCACAGGGGTGGGGTATGGGGACCCGGGTCCATCCTCTCCACTGGGTCCCAGCCCAGGGCCCAACCACCAGCTCAGAGGGGAACCCTTCCGAAACGCTTCAAGCCCCCCGGGTCACCGTCTGATTCCCTGCCCTTGGGCTACTTCCTACCCCCGTCTGGCAGCGTCGGGTGTGGTTTGGTGTCAGGCTGCGCCCCTCCCATCACTGCTCCTCCTCATGCTGCTGCTCCCTCTGGCCTGGGCTGCTCCTCAGGCTGCAACTCCTCCAGCCGGGACAGGCCCTCCTTCCCTCCCCAGCGGCCAGCCCAAACTGACCCGCTTCTCTGGCCTTTATACCAGGGCTGCATCTGGAGCATGCCCAGCAGGGCTGTGTGGGACAGACTTTTCCCACCCACTAAGCCTGTCCACCACCCCCAGGCCAGTGCGGGGTTGGTACACCCCATCACACCCACCAATACAGGCGCCCCACGACTTACGACGTAATTGGTTCCTGGGGAACTGCCGTAAGTCGGGCCATCGTAAATGCGAGCGGTGGATGTAAGTTGGGGGTTTTCGGTGCTATGGCCATTTTAAAATGATTGTAAATGAGGGGGGTTGTAACTCGGGCGGTCTCAAGTCGGGGGTTTCCTGTATCGAGGCAGTGTGTGGCTGTGCCTCACCAACACAAACGACCACCCTCCTCCACCTGCATGTCACAAAAGTCAGTGTAGACGCTGCAGAAGAAACGAAGAGGCGGCGTCGGGATTCGCAGACAGATGTGTGTTTCAAGGAGCTTGCGAATAAAGTTTTGTCCTACGGGGAAACACGCCTCGGCAATAAAATAGTCCCCTTTCCCCACCCGCTTCTAAGTCTCCTGTTTCTTCTCTAAGGCCGGGGACCAGCCCGAGGGGGGGGGTGTCCAGCCCCAGGGGGCTGGCGCGGGGGCCGTGGGG